TAAACTTATAAAAGCCTACGGCGAGGTTCTTTCCACGGGGTACTGAGAAAACAGAGACATAATCACTCCATATAACTGCTCATCAACCACCACACCATCGAGAAAGTCAACATGCCCCAGATTGCCGGAAAGGAAGTCGGCCCCATCGGCTTCGGCCTTATGGGATTAACTTGGCGAGCGACACCACCGTCCCAAGGGCAGGCATTTGATGCTATGCATACTGCAATTCAGAATGGATGTATGTAATTACTCTTTTCCTTTCCCGGAGGCAGCTATCTAAACCAACATTGATCAATAACCTATAGGTACTTGCTGGAACGGCGGCGAAAACTACGGCTCACTTGACTACAACAGTCTGGTTCTAGTGGAGCAATATCTGGAGAAATACCCCGAAGATGCCGACAAGATAGTCCTGAACATCAAGGGCGGCGTGAATCCCGACACTCACCAGATAGATGCTTCGGCGGAGAATACGCGCCGCAGTCTAGATAACTGCATAGCGCAGCTGAAAGGTCGCAAGAAGATTGATATGTTTGAATTTGCCCGTCGAGACCCGACTGTGCCTATGCAGGAGACGTTTGCTCTTATTGAAAAGGAGTATGTTCAGACGGGCAAGATCGAGGGGATTGCCTTGTCGGAGGTGCGGGCTGAGACCATCCATGAAGCTGTCAAGTATACCAAGGTACTTGCGGTGGAGGCTGAGCTTTCTTTGTATGTATGGGATTTGTTGCAGAAGCAATGGAGGGTTAATGCTGACTGGAATAGGTTCACTACTGATATCCTGGAAAACGGCGTCGCAGCGGCGTGCGCCCAATACGGGATCCCGATTATTGCCTACTCGCCGATCGGCAGAGGCATGTTGACTGGTCAGTTCAAGAAGTTCGATGATCTTCCGCAAGATTCGCTGTTGCGCTCTTTCGACTTTCCGCGATTTCAGCGGGAGAACTTCGAGAAGAACATGCAGCTGGTAGAGAAAGTGGAAGATATCGCTCAGAGGAAGGGTTGTACCCCAGCGCAGCTGGCTATCAACTGGACAAGAGCACTCTCTAGGCGCCCAGGGGTACCAACCATTATTCCTATCCCAGGTGCCACAACTGCAGAGCGGGTGGAGGAGAACAGTAAGCAGATCGAGATCACGGATGAAGAGATGCAGGAGATTGATGAGATATTGGCCAAATTCACTCCAGCTGGTGAACGATACCCCGGGGCCATTCCGGTCAATACCTAGGATATTTAGTATCAGAATCCTGCAGTACAAATGACACTCTCGTAGCTTTAGAGACTCTCATTTCAAACCATGTTTCAAGGTACCAAATCAGTCAGTTGACGCAACATGATAGCCATCCTTCCAGTAGAGCAAAGAACAAATCTGAGCTATCTTGTGTCCAAAATCTATATGACGAGCCACGAGTGCTGTGTCTACCAACTGAGCACTTGTTATCTTCTGGAGATCAGCAACCCGGCTTCAACGACCATGTGACAGCACCAAATCCGGCTTTCCCCAGCAATCTTGGGCAGACTAGCATATCCCAGCTACCGTACCTGACGATCGGAGAGACGCCGACCGGTCTAGACTGACCGGGGTAAGTAAAAGTAACTATGCACATGGAAGATTCTAGCATGTAACATGCATCTCATCACCTGAACAGCAGCCGTAAATCAGGGTGGGGTAGATGATAGTGCGATAGATGTTAAACGGTCTTGTATGTTGCATCGGTCTCAAATCTTGATGTTAACTGCAGTCGGGACTAAGAAGATAAGTCACAGTTGCAAGGGCAGGTATTGTGCAATCGAGGCCACGTCAGCGATATGCCGGAGTTCAATCGGAATGAGAGGGGACGGAAGGGACGGAGGAGGACGGTAGTAAGTTGGTGGCTTGGTGGAGAAAACCTTGGAAAATAAACTATTGCCGGTCCTGGGATGAGACAGCTGGGGGTAAGGTTTCCTGTCAATCAACAGTAGAGAGTGCCGTGGGGAAACAAAAGAAGGGTGGTAGTGGGGATTTGGGGAAATTCTTGCTGGTCACACGCCTCACGCCCCCGCGGCGGCACTATCTATACATAGTAGAACGCCTATAGATAGCAACGATTTGGCGAGAACTTTACTATAGTATCTGCTACCGCTACGGTCACTATTACGTTTACTTTTATCGAATTGGCCTTTTCCCCTGGTTAGACATTATCATCGTTTAGAAGCGCTCTCTATAGTATGACTCTTTGGACTCCAGTTTAATAACATTAACCGTTGCTCTTCCGCAGCCAGGCATAACCTGGTGCCGATATTTTAGATCACTGTGTGAAACTAGAATATAGGTTGACTTCTCACGTACACAGTATAGCATCAGTGATTGTGCTAGTAGTAAACCGAATGTACACATGGAAGTAGGATGCTTGGATTCGGCGGGGGCGTCGACACCTGGGGCGCCAGGGGCGCATCGCGCACTGACCAGCAGTTACTGTCTCGCCTATCCGTGGGAGAGTCTGGAACCTGGGGATCCCTAAGCAACCTGCCACCCTCAAGTCGATCATTGCCGCTGCCGATTGCCCGTCACTCCCGCATCTTGGTCCTTTCAACCTGTTGACCGACTAGGTCTGTCGAGCAATACAGTCTCACACCATCTTTCAATATCCATATCCTGCACGCAATACACATCTTCACATAAGCACAGTTGTAGATGACAAAAGAATCTCTGCGGATTATACTCCCGGATCCTCCGGATTCGACAGGGAAGCAGGCCGCATATTCGATGGGCGCATCTGGACTCAGTGCTTATTCGAGCCTATTCTCATGCCATTCCAGAGATAGGAGAATTGCAAAGCGCCAGCAATAGCACAGCTAATAAGATCAGTTGTCAGGCTGGCTAGCATATTCTACCCGCGTGCACCGGAACGAACGTTATTGGGCACTAGTTCAAGCTTAAGCTCCAAAATATCAATCAATAGACGAAAACTAGAATGCTCACGGGACCTGATACAGCCGCCGATGAAGATGCGGGTGCCAGGGCCGAAAGGCCCCTAATTTCAGGCAGGAAAAAGCCACCCGGGAGTCCCAGAAAGGTAAGATGGTGACACCTCACCTCGTTACGGTCCATCTCCCCGGTATAGGGATGAGACCCTTCCATCAGCGAAGAAAAATATGATGGTCACATGGCAATCCCAAGGATCCGCTTCGGGTGGCCGATCTGATTCCTTGCTCTACTCTGGTTTAGGCTTGTCGACCACATCGTGGGAAGCAGGGACCTTGTATCTATCTACACTTGGAATGGTGGTTAATGATTCTTCTATATTCAGAACCTCCTGAAAGTAAGGTATGGTTGTGGCTTCGATGGATTTGGGTGAATGGCCCCTGATATAGATCTATGCGCTAGCTCATATACACAAAATGTTTGTTTGCTTACGTTCTTTACCGGATATCGATGTTGATGTGTTCACCTTACTGAAAGTACTTGATAAGGCTTGCCTCGATCCGTATCGCTAGGGTTCTAGGGATACTCATAGGCATGGGATGGGGATGGGGATGTTGGCGACCGCGGAGTTGCGATGAGAATCCCAAAGGCATCCTCTCCACGACTGGAAAGTACAGGAATTGGCCAATAGGATTGTCTGGACCTGTGATAAGCTTGCTGTCTCAACGTAGTGCTACAGACAGAGGAAAAGGGATCACACACTCCATGCTGAGCCACTACTGGTCCGAACGAGGTGAAATAGATAGTAAAACCCTGGGCAGAATGTCTATGCTATGCCACCGTCTCAACCGAAAATATGGTCCAAGCCAACACCCTATCTTGAAGGTACATAATGCATACATAGCATCCCTACATGCTGTACCCTGCTGGGTGCCTGATAGTGTGCAGGACGAGGACTGGAGACGATTGGCATTGGATCCGGGTCGATCTCCGAACGACCCGTGACCACCCCGTCGAATGTTCGACCGAATTAAATGTAGCTTCCAGAACCGCCCAGGCAGGCCCCGTGATCAGCAGGAGTGGTAGAGACAGACCAACTGTCATCCTGACGGGGTCATTCTTTTTTCATCCCCAGTTTTGGGTGGTGGTCGAGGGGGAGCTTCTTTCCGCCCGCCGCGCCCCCATTCGCCCCATCCCCGGATTGCCTAAAAGAGAAAGCCGAGCACTCCACGAATAGTGGCCCTTCCAGTGGAAAGCCATGGCCGGCAGTTGTCCGTTGTTCGTGTCGGTCAGGCCGTAAATTTGCCTTGGATGATGCTGGAAGAGAGATGCTTCTGGGGAACTTCTCACGATGGCCCTCAACACTATCGTTACTTCATGATGATTTAACTTCGTCATCCGCGGGCGTGCATCCCCATTGGCCAAGTTACTTTGCCCGCTTCTCTTTATCGAATTCCCTTCATTACCCAGTTACTGTTGGGGAGAAACTGGAAATACTCCTGGTTTAGATGTCATACTGATTGAAGAGAGCAGTAATTGATACTGTAGTGGCTCTAGAGATGTGCATTGATCAAGGTTGTCTGCTATCAACGTTTGGTCGGAATAGTTGCCGTACAGTATGATATAGAGAAGTCATTCGGTGCCGGAACGATGCCTGCAGGTCTTGCCACGATGGAAAGGACCGAATGACCTCTTGGTGGAACCTGAATTGTATTCCCTTCTATCCCCATCCGTCCACACATTCCCTGGGTCTGGACCGCATCCACCTCTCCCTCGCAGCTAATCTTTCTTGGGTGCTGGTTCCAATCTCTAGTTGCTCACATGAGCCCTCATGACCATCTTGGGCTAACATCACTCCCCCTGAGGAAGCTACCCATGGGCTCATCGCGAATATATAAGAGGCTTTCTCGATGCTCATTGACAACTCTGCCATCAGCAATTGAGTCTTCTTCGCGCTCACCTCTGCTTTCACAGTGACTCGCGTGCTACCATTGATTAAGACTTTCCCAACTCACTATCTATCTTCCACCTGAAACCCTTTCAATTACATTGTCTTTCAAATCTATCTTCTACATTAATCTACACTTACTCCACAATGTCTGTTTCCTTCGACACCACTGACGTTGCCCCCGCCCCGGTCCCTGTTGTACAGGATGGCCCATGTCTCGGCTCCAAGTCCAGAATGCCCGAGTTCAGCCTGGCTGGAAAGGTTGTCTTGGTCTCCGGGGCTGCGCGTGGCCTTGGTTTGACCCAAGCTGAAGCCCTTCTGGAAGCGGGTGCCAAAGTCTACGCTCTTGACCGTCTGGATGAGCCTGTAAGTGTCCTAGAAGGAGTTTATTATTGACTCGTCTAACCCGCAATTCTTCTAGTCCCCCGAATTCGCCGTTATCCAGGAGCGCGCTCTGCAAGAGCTGGGTACTGAGCTTCACTACCGTCGCATCGATGTCCGCGACACAGAGCTGCTGAACACCGTGATTGAAACCATTGCCAACACTGAAGGCCGAATGGACGGTCTGGTGGCGGCGGCCGGAATCCAACAAGAGACCCCCGCGCTGGAGTACACAGCCAAGGATTCCAACACCATGTTTGAGGTGAACGTCACGGGAGTGTTCATGACCGCTCAGGCAGTCGCCAAGCAAATGATTCGCTTCGGAAATGGAGGCAGCATCGCCCTAATTGCGAGCATGAGTGGCACCATTGCCAATCGGGTATGTTCCTATTTTGTCACCCGTTACCAGCCCTACTGCTTTCCCCGCTTTGACTCTTCCTTCTCTTGACTTTCTGTGCGACGACTTACTCATGATGCTGTAGGGTCTCATCTGCCCCGCTTACAATGCCAGTAAGGCTGCCGTGATCCAACTTGGCCGTAACCTCGCCTCTGAATGGGGTCAATACAATATCCGCGTCAACACTATCTCCCCTGGATACATTGTCACCGCCATGGTCGAGAAGTTGTTCGAGCAGTTCCCCCAGCGCCGCGACGAGTGGCCCAAGCAGAACATGCTCGGCCGACTGTCCGCTCCTAACGAGTACCGCGGTGCAGCAGTCTTCCTCCTCAGCGACGCCAGCAGCTTCATGACTGGTAGCGACCTTCGCATTGACGGTGGTCACGCCGCATGGTGATGACATGAACATTCATACTCTTCCTATTTTCCTTCCGATCCTCTAACTACACTCTGATTATCACGGCACGTATTCACGCATGGCGTTCATTGGAAGCGAGCACTGCACTATAACTGGTTTATCATGACGTCTACCTCTCCATCAGGAGGCAAATTTGTGGTTTCTTTTTCCCCTTTAGCGTTTGGTGTCTGGACGGGATGATCGGGTTGATGAACAGTACCTAGAGCTGCTACCTACCACCTGTACCTATACCTATATTATACATACCTATCATCCCTACCTACTACCTACCTATCTAATTATTCAATATAAATTTTATTTCCCGATATATCCATCCCATAATACCTCCAGTGAAACTGAAATAATTCCAACCCCCACCACCCCCCATCAAACCTTTACCCAATGAACATCCCCTAACCCAAAACAAAGTTATAAAAAAGCACCACTTAGCGCGCAGATCCCACCACCCCAGAAAATCGCACATGACCCCACAAAAAAAAATCAACCTCTTAGCAAAGCCTAGCTCAGTCCAACCTACCATAGGGCAAGAAGTTGATGAATGTAGTAAGCGTAGTCGTAAGCCTTGCTACTAAGTACCCTAGTAATTCCAGCCTGGGCATCTCGCCAAGACCTATCTACTGCCATATTCCCCACCATCGATCCGAGGTAACTAATTACTTACTACCCCACCCCAGATCCCCCCGCATAACTGCATACGATTTAGATTCGGTTCTGAACCAGGGTTAGAGAGGTTGATGTGACGTGTGGTTGATGTATAGACTTATTATAACTACTGGGCTTCTATATTTATTGGGTTTAATTTTCTGGAATTGGATTTGTGGGGTTTCTGGTAGTTACTGGGTGCAGTAAGGTTGAACTTCGCTCGCTACCTTGTTTCATTCTCCGGTGGTTTTAACTATTTCTATTCCACTACTTGCGCAGGTTATATGTATCGAGATAGTGGTGGTGGTACCACTCTCACGCAACACGAAGGAAGCACCACTATGGACGATAGGTCTATCTATTGGTGCAGTTTCACAAAAGCAAAAGTGAAATAGATGAACCCAGACTTCGCCGAGAAAGTAACGGGGGATTACCTATTTGGGGATTATACATGGTAGTTATTAGCTGAGAGGACAGTCCTCTTCCTCTTCTACTTACTATCTATGGATGTAAAAAAGAAGAGACAGAGCCTAAGACGGATATATGTGCCGAGCAAAACCCAAACAAGCCATTCAATCATTATATTAAACCAAACATAAAAGCAAAACGCGGAAAGAAGTCTCGTGATCCATCTGACTTCAGTAACTATTCGAAGTTGAGGTAAAAACATATTGATGCCTAACATATCGCCTAAGCGGCAGAGGCCTAGTCTTTAAATCCAGATGCAAGGGGATCGATTCGTGAACATAATCTAGACCCTTATTCGATACTGCAGTATTGGTGTTTCTGGGGTCTTGGTTCACGTGGTGATTAGGCCTTGCAGGTGGTCTAGTTTTATTCGTTGTTGGGAATATCACCTGTCTTGTCTTTTGTCTTAGGTGAGGCTACTACTATACTAGAAGTAGTAGTATATAGTTGGATGGTGTTCAACTTCGGTTGGGATCGGATCTTCTCAATCAGCGTGGCATGTATCTATATCCCCCAATACACGGACAATCCCGGGCTTATCCCTTTATCACCATCTATCTCATTGGTATATACTCATTCCCCGGATGATGCGGTCTCGGTTCGTACTAGTCACTTGATATTTCCCCAGATCGTCAGCATGACCCTATACTAGTTAACTACTACTAGTAGCTAAGTGAGTATTCAGTTCTCTCCATCCACATAAATACATGGAAAGTCCAGTAATTGGCTCGCTTGCCTCCGGTCTACCTGCCTACATAGATCCTACTTCCAACAGCCTGACCCAACATTCCATAGTAGCATAGATATCAACCAAAGAACCACTGACAACGCATCACCACCGCAGCCGTGCATGACATTGTCCATCTTCTACGTGCAGTATACGCCCCCCGTATCTCTCCGACATTGGTATCCAGTTATATCATGTTCCTATATGGATGGCCCACACTTTGCAATCGGCGACAGCATCGACGATGGGGGTTTCTTGTGACCATTTCCATTCATTTGATGTGGCGGATATTGATTGATGATTGCTGAAAAGGTAATATCGGGATCTCCTGTTTCGGAATGGTTTATGAGGGTTTCTTTTTGTGGAGGGAGGTGTGATGGGGAAGTCGAATCGTCATCTCCGGGTGTAGGTTTCATGGTTCGGAGGACAATAGGCCTTGTGCTTGTAGTAGTGTAAGTTTTAGGAGGTGGTGAGAGGTGGCTGTTATAGCGTAAGTTGGAGGGGCTTATAACAACAATCCTCGATGGTCTAACGGTCATGATTTCCGCTTGTCAATCCTTAACAGGAACAAGCGCGGGAGACCTGGGTTCGACTCCCAGTCGGGGAGATGTTTTTGATTTTTGCTCTCTTTCAAGGTTCTTAGATTAAAATAGATTCTTTTGCTGTTTTTTTTAGCCCTTTGTCCTATTTCTTTATTATGTGTGCTTGTTGTTCCGTTGTTCGGAAGAATAAATGTTGAGATCATGATAATGTCAAGATTTATACCGAGCTTTCCCCCGACGGCATCACTATATATAATGGCTGAAGTCTACGACATCAGACACACGATCCACAAATGTCATCTAAAACAAACACTTAAGAAACCTGCGGTCTTATGCACACACTCATAGCTAGAAATTGAGACGCTAAGAAGTGTAGTGTTCTTGTAGTTGCTCGAAATATCCTGCGACAATGGTGAGGAACCGAGCATAGGAAGTATAACAAATCCATCACCACCATGCTTTGGAGTGCTTCAGACATGCAATAAATGGATCCATACCCAAGAACCATAAGATCATCGACAAAGCCACGAGCGTGCACAGGGCCTGGTATCAATTTTATCCTAGGCAATTCTCTGAATCCGTATTTCTGTTATAGCTCATCCCGAGGAGCAACCTGAGTAGGCATTTCCAGTGCAATGAGGGCATAAGTATAGAGAGGGCTGGTAAATTAGGACCAAGCGTCGAGGATGAATGCACTGCATATTATGGAAATGAGGGACTCGGATAAATGGGACGCATGGACAGATCCAATTGATCAAGGCTATATGAATCCCGGTGTATTGAAGACCGACAATGTTTGTAGAGGAAGTCCGAATTCTCTAATTCCACATCCCCACAGAATCGCATGAGATCTGCTATAATGTAGCAACATAGCAACAACATGCAGTCCATACATTGAATCCTACGCATCACGCTGACCGGCCCCAAACAAGCCATCTACAACAACTTCGCCATCCCATTATAATACAATGCCATTCCATAACCATGCATACATACATACATCCACTCTTCCCTATCGTACACTTATTCCTGTACACCAGGTATCTCAACCCATCAACCAATATCCCCAACCACCCCCCTCTCCCCCAACCTACCCACAACACCACTCTTCAACCTCAACAGCCTCTCAATCTCCTCCGCCGACAATCCCTGCCTATCCCTCATCGACAAGACCTGCCGAATGGTAAACGCATCAACAAACTCCCTGCCCTGGAACCCCGATCTCCCCATCGCCTCGAACTCCTGCTCCGCGGCCTTGGTGAGGCGCTGCCGCGCCGAGAAAACCAGTAACGCCGGGTTAGATGCGGGCGGGAAAACGGTGGGCGCGGGTTGTTGGCGCGCAAAGGTGCTAGTGTGGGAGAAGGTCGGGTTAGGAGTCACGGGGCCGATGGTGCGAAGTTGTGCGGCGAAGTCTGGGTCGCGGCCGTCGAGGTCGATTGCTTTGTAGAGATATTGTCAGTTTGGATTTATGGAGTTGAGGGAGGGAAAGATGGAGGTGTATGTACGTACCTGATGAGCGCTCGAGAGAGGGAGGTTCTTTTGAGTGGTAGGTTGGTCCTGTGGGGGGTACTCGCGACGGTTGTCGCGGTGGTCGTGGTTGTGGCTGTGGTTGTTGTTGCTGTCTCGTCGGTTTAGATGCTGGTGGTGGTTGTGCTGGGGAGGAGGTCGGAGGAGAAACGGGTTGTTTTGGGTATTGGCGCCGCGAGACAGCCTGGGCGGCGGATCTCGCGGGCTTGGAGGATGAGGCGCCCATGGGTTGGCGGTTCTGGAGGATTTGAGATTGCGGATCTGGGGGTGGAGCTGGGGTTTAGCACTGATGTTCTGGAAGCATAATAATTGCGGTGGTGGTGATGATCGGTTTTACATGGATTCAATTGCCTTCTGCAGAGGATCGGGCGGACTAGCCTATTTGGGATGATGGACTAGCCGCGCGGGTGACGTCAGCCATTACGAATTATTTACTTGTTCTTTTGATATTGCTGCTTGCTGTTGTTATTGTGATTTGGGTGGGATACCCCTGACTGTCTAGGTAGTACTTTTTATAGAGATGTGTGATGATGAGTATCGTATAGTAGATGCTAGTCCTATTCATGTCTGTTTTGCTACACTCATACAGTAAGGCTTGTCTGCACAAGCCTGGTTCCCTACAGGAACACTACTTCAATAATACTCTCTCAGGCAGCAGTAGTCCAGTACTGCATTTACCTGAGTCCGGCAAGCCGTCTGCCCTGGACTTCACCCAGAGCGCGGCTACCGCTGACGAATGCGACGGATCCGGCCACTGCGACAGCAGGGAGGATCTGGAAGAGAGTCCAAGAACTATAGTACAGGAAGAAGATGCCCTCGATGGAGAGGAGGGAGCCAAGGAACACAATGTGAGGGATAGGAGCCGACTTCAAGGCAGTAGGCAGGTGGTTGACGTTGACGCCAAGGAAGAGCCACTGGAGCAGTGTCAGAGACGTATTGAAAAGAAAAGTAGAGAGTAGAACTTACCACACCGCCCAGAACGGGCAGAGTAGCGAGCACCATGGCGACAAAAGCCAGCGTAATCACGATGGGAGGGCTCTGAGGGTCGCTCTTGAAGATGTGGTGGATCTCAGGAAGCTTTCCATACCGCGAAACCTCGACGGTCGGGACGGGCTCATCGGCGTTACGGGCTACATCCAGTTGGAAGGCAGCAGCATTGTATGCGGTCGACTCGCCGAAGGATCCGATCAGGAATCGGGCCTCAAGAGGCTCGGAGGCGGAAAGGAATTGAACGGGAAGGTCTTTCTGGGTCTGAAGTATACATCAGCTGTGCCCTAGCTGGTTCTGCGTGTAGTGCAGGCCACCTACCAGGTCAAGCCTGGACTTGCCATTGTCCTTGACGTTGAAAGGGTATGAAATGTCCAATCCAGTCTCAGGATCTTGGAGGAGGAGGTACACTTGGTGTGCGTGCTTTCCGGTGCGTCCTTCTTGAGCTGTCAAGGTAACTTTCAAGGTATCGGCGACTCCAAGGGCGACGGGCTTGGTAAGAGCTTTGTTATCGGGGATACTGTCAATTGAGAGATACCATCAGTTCAAAGGTTCCAGAAGAGCAAGATAACAACGTAGAAAATAAGAAACGTACACCTCCTTTACGCCCGCACCGACACCAGCGCCTTTGGTGTTTACTGACACGGTGGCATCAGTAAATCCCCATGCGGAGGCAGCCGCGGTCGGGATAGCAGCAGAAGCCAGCAAGGAGAGCTGGAGAACGGAGTGCCACAGCTGCATGATGAGCAAGAGACCGAAACCACAGCGACCAGGCAGTAGAATGAACGGAAAAGAAGAAAGCGACAAGGCCAAACACCGGGGGTATAGCGAGAGGAATGGGAAGCTGGAGCGACGACACGAACAGGCCGAAGCGGAAGATGCGCTAAGATAAGCGCCCGCGGCTTTGGGGCAAGCGGCGGTCCAGTGACCGCCCGCCGCCCGTGCAAGCCCTAATTTCCCGGCATCTCGATGGAGTTCGGGCTGCCAAACATTTCTTCTTCGCTCCCTCGTCCGGACTATCGGGTTTGTCTGCCACTGTTGCGATCCCGGAGATCCTCGAACGGCTCAATAGTCGCTCCTTTGCATTTGCGCCATGTCTTTTATGCCTCTCCTCTAGCCCCGGGAGCCCCCCTGCGCCTGCAGTTTGCCTTGACGTTCCGACTCCTCGCCTCCGCTTCACCGACGGGCCACCCTGGTCTCCGATCACGACAAGTTGGATCTGCGCGGTTGTGGTTACAATTACAACGAGTATAGCTGGATATTGGTACGTGGAGAAGATAGTTGGACTGCTTCGTGCCCCGTTGGTGGTTCATGCCAGGTGTTCTGGGTTTCCAGGAGGTGCCGCTCCTGCTTGCCTCCGTTTTCCGAATCGTCCATCGGCCCTCATTCCATTCACTGACTCTCGCCTCGTCTCACAGGCCCGACAAGCCCCAAATCCCCGTCGCATAACCCTTCCGATTGAATACCTTCATTTCGACAGGAATAGACACTGTAGTCCGCCTGCCATTCTGTCCGTTACCTCCGAAGTATCAGTGGTTGTATAATACAGGACTCGGCCGGGACAAGCCGTATTTCGGGGTTGCTGAAGGGATTGAAGTGATTGAGAAACAGTGAACAAGTAAGCCGAACAAAGACTGAATCCCGTTTTGGGACTTGGGGATTCACCTGGATCAGGCTATTCACTGGCTATTCACTGCGATGGAAGCTAATAACACTGAAGTGGTTGGTAGGGCTTCTGTTGCGAGGGAACTTGGGTCCCCCGCTGCTCTCTCCCTCGACTTGACTCCCGTAAGTCTTCTGCAACTTTCTGCCTCGCGTCTCTTTCTTCGATTTCTAACCAGATCTCCAGAGAGAAACACGTCGAAGTTCGTCTCGTGCGTCACGTAAAACAACACGTGAACCAGAAGCTCTTCCTTCGAACTTATCTCACTCTTCTGTCTCATTGCCCCCTACACCTGTCACCACGTCATTCGAAGAACAGCTCCCATCTGCCAAACGTCGCAAGACGCAGCGTTCTGCCACTGTAGACGAGAAGACAAGTTTGAACCAAGAATCTGCCCAAACCCCGAATCAACAAGGTTCTGGTGGTCCCTCGCAGATATCCAACAGCGTCCCTAAGAAAAGAGGACGCGGCAGGAAATCGGCCTTAGCCAACGGTGAGACCGTGCAACCTGCAACTCCTACTTCCAATCCCAAGCAACAGTCACAGTCGACGTTGCATAACTTTCTGTCAAGAACACTCAAAGATCGACGCAAGTCTCTTGCTACTCAAAATCCGTCACCAAACCCCACCATGTCTACTTCTCACGTCTCCTCTCCCGCCATGAACTCTTCTGCTTCCAACAGCCGCAAGACGCGTAAGTCTATGCCAGCAAAGCTGAACGGCTTCGAGAACAGCGAGAAGACTTCTTCCGTGGACTCTACCTCTTCTCTCACTTCTACTCCCAACGCTCAGAGCGGCAAAGCCGATAAAGCTCCCGCTAATTCTGCTGCGTCTGCCATTACTGCTGAAGCTGCTGAAGCCCAGGAGGCCAGCACCAAGCTTGCAACATCTGCTACGCAGCCTCGCTCTACTCCTCGTACTACGACTGCCAGATCTCGTCGTGCCGAACGCAAGTCCAGAGCAATGGCTGCAACTCAGAATTCCAAATCAGCTCAGTCTACTCCCGTCTCTGCAGTGAATTCAAGCAGTCACAAGCCTGCCCATTCACAGGTTGCTACTCGAACCAGTTCGCGACCCCAGCGATCTACTCGAAAGTCTGCAATCAACGCCGCAAGCCAGGCCGTGGATGACGCTTCTTTTGAAACGCCTTCTGTCTCAAAGACACCCTTTGGCCGCGAGGTTGCTGACAGCATTGAAAGTACCCCTGCTATTGACAGCAAGGCTGAATTCGACACCATGTCTGGATACGACTTGGATACCCCCGGAATCGAACGCAGTACTCCGTACGGCGAAAGTTTTCCTTTTGAATACCATGCTGATATGTATGGAAACAAATTTGGTCTTGATGGCTCCAATGAGGGCCCAGGATCCCCAACTGCCAGCTACTCAACCACTACGTCAGCTGCGCGCACATCTGGAAGGACCCGAAAGCCTACCATCAAGGCTATGGAATCTTTGGAATCTGAAAGGCGCTTCCGCAGAAACCGTGCACCATCATCTAAGCCAGAGTCTGCTCTCAAGGAAGTAAAGGGCAAGGCAGCAGTCAAGAAGACGCGTGCCAACAAACAGGCCAATGCGAAAACAGCTGGTATTGCACAGGCGTCGAAGGCAGGCGTCGAAGGAAATTGGGCAGTTTTAGCAAATCGCCTTCTTGACCTGGCCGCGGCAGCTGTTGCTCCAGAATTTGAGCCGTCATCGGAAGCCGAGGGCTGGGTCGAGGAGCTACGCAAGGAGTACATGGAGAAGCAGGAGAAGAAGACCGAAACTCCAGCGGTGCAGTCCGAGGCGGAGCTCGTGACCGAGGCCGCATCCGAAGCGCAGCCCCAGGCAGAGATCGGCGTTGAGGGATCAAGTAAGCCAATCTCTACGTCCGAGACGCACCGGTGGACTGACGAGGATGGGTTTATTTTCACAGGCCAAACAAATAAATTTGGCGAAGAGCTTGTCGTTGTCGGCGAAGGCTATTCTTGGTTCCGCCCTAACAACACCTACGGAGACAAATTGCTCCCCCAGCCTCCAATCCGCCTGAAGTCTCATGAACAGTTCGAGAAGGACCGCATCTTCGGTTATCCCCCACGCATGGGAGAGCGCAACCTGCCTCAGGATAACAAGATGCCTTTCTTCTTCGAAAACGTGGACGAGGTCAAGGCGACCATCAAGGCTCGGGAGGAGGCCCGCAAGAGAGGAATTGCCGTCGATCGAATGATGCCGGCTGCCTACATCCAAACCTTGATCGCCCAGCACGATGAAACCGCCCCGAAAGATGGTCCAGGCGAAGTGAAAGAGGCCAAAGAGACCAAGGAGCCGACTCGCAAACGGCGCCGCGGCGGCGAAGCCTCAGAAACCACTCAAGTGCCCAAGCGACGCCGGAGGGAGCCAGAGCCGGAACCAACTCCACCCGCTGAGCCGCCCAAAACGCTGCGCATCAAGCTGACCTTGAAGGGAGGAGCGGGCGCAGCGACCAGGAAGCGATCCTATTCTGAGATGGAAGATCAGCCCGCCGAGATGAAGCCTGCCGAAACGAAGCCCGCCGAGGGGAAGAGTCAGCAGGAGCGGTCTAGCCCTTCCAAAATCCTGAAGCTCGGTCTGCGTCGCAATTACACTCAAGAGATGATCAGACGCACGACTCCAGAAGATCTTGCGATGGGTCCCCCCGAACCACCCAAAGACATGTATGAGGCTTTCAATGTAGCTCCCCCTCCTGGACCGCCACCCCGAAACTTCAACACAGCTCCTGGAGGACGTCCCCGTCGCCGTGCTGCGGCTGCCCTGATTGCAGAATTTCAGAATCACGCCGAGGAGAGGGCTCGTCGCGCCAACGCACGCAAACGGAACGTTCCATCGGACAAACCTGACGATCCTAATACTAAACCCAACGGCCAGCCGAATGGCCAACCCAACTGAGATAATCCTCAAGCGTCAGGCTTCACTCGTCACACTATGAAAAAAATCGCATATTCGCGGTCTGCGAGGCACCTCGACTCGCATACCAGCCCGCAGACCGCGAATAAACTGGTCATTGAATGATTTAAGGCTTTCATGAAGTTCAAGTGGTTGTTTCTCTCGGTCCTCAATGGCCAGTCACTCGTCTAACTGAAAAAACATCGCATGTTGGCGGTCTGCGTGGCATCTCAGCTCGAATATCAGCCCGCAGACCGCCAACAGACTGGTCATTGAGTAGTTCAAGGCTTTCATGAAGTTAAAGTGGTTGTTTCTCGTTTCTCGATGGCCAGTCACTCGTCCAACTGAAAAAACATCGCATGTTCGCGGTCTGCGTGGCACCTCAACTCGCATACCAACCCGCAGACCGCGAACAGACTGGTCATTGAATAATTTAAGGCTTTCATGAAGTGTGGCTGTTTCTCTCGTTTCTCGATGGCCAGTCACTCGTCTAACTAAGAATATACTTCGCATGTTCGCGGTCTGCGAGGCATCTCAACTCGAATATCAGCCCGCAGACCGCGAACAGACTGGCCATTGACTGGTTGAAAGGCTTTCATGAAGTTAAAGTGGTTGTTTTTCTCGTCTCTCGATCAATGTTTGCAGTCTGCGTGGCATCGCAACTTGGGTATCAGCCCGCAGACCGCAACAGACTGGCCATTGAGTGATTTAAGGCTTTGATGAAGTTGAAGTGATTGTTTATCTCGGTTATCAATGGTCAGTCTACACTCGTCAAACTTATAATACATCGCATGTTCGCAGTCTGCGTGGCATCTCAAAACGAATATCAACCCGCAGACCGCGAACAGACTGGTCTTTGAGTGATATAAGGCTTTTGATGAAGTTAAAGTGTTGTTGTGCCGCTTCTCTATCTTGTCTTCGGATCTGCGAGGCACTCGTCTCATTTCCACATCAACCCGCAGATCCGAACAGATTGACCATGGAGTGTGTTTTGATGCTTGATGAAGTCATAGTGGTTCAAACAACTCATATTTCTCACTCTGTTTGGGTCTGCGTGGCATCTCAACTTGCATACCAACCCGCAGACCCGCCCGTTGAAAGTGGTTCGATGCTTAATGAAGTTACAGTGGCTGATTATATCTCTCAATTCTCTTATCTTGTCACCGGATCTGCGAGGCAACTCATATCTATCTCAACCCGCAGATCCATTTCCGACTGATCATGTTTCTCTCCCATGGTCAGCTCTTTTGTCTCTCTTATTTCTTTTCCTCTCAATACTACGGAGTTAAAGGAATCATTTCGAGCCATTCGTGCATAGCGTTCAGTTTCAAAGGCAGGCGATGAAGTTATTGGCGTTCGTTTAGAATCATGCTTTGCTTTGCTTGCTTGTTGCTTTCTTATCTGGTGGTCATTCGAGATCTGGAATGGACCTGGACTGGCTGTATTATCTTGGTTTTCTCTTCTTTTTTTTTCACTTCTATTCTGTACTGTAGGATGAGTTTTAATTCTTCGAATTTGGAAATTGGGGTGGAAAGCTACGGCAAATAGCACAGCGGGTTAATCTAAATACTACAAATGAAATAAGTACATACTTATTGTGCACTGTTGTAGAATCAATCGGTATAGAAAGGACGACCAACAATAGATGGAGAGTGATGCCTCAGGCACAAAGATAGTAATCCGAACCTCAAACAAACCACCTGACTTTTTCCGCCTCCATCCATCCATTCATCCCATCCCATCCCATCAATCATTCATATCCAAATCTACTTCATTCCAAATAATCACTCACTCACCCAACACAAAACTAATTACATTTCAAATAATAATAATCCCCAAGTGAAGGAGAAGAAAAAAAATGCCCACCCAACAACAACCATCCCCCAAACCAAGAGTGATCATGGACCCTCATCATCACCGCCAACCAATGTCACCCCGTGGACAACGTCCAGCAGGAGGAGCAGTGAAAGATATCCGCCAAACGAAAGAATATAAACTTGCTGCGAGACGGTGAGTGAGCAATTAACCTCCATCATCATCATCATCCACTTTCTTTCCCTTCCCTTCCCTTTCCTTATAAGTAAAGTAATCAACTAACGTGGGGATGGGGGATGGGTTTTTATAGATGGATATCAGTGATGGTGGGATTACCCATCTTGATGTATACGTCTTGGAGTTTGTATGAGAGGAGTATGTACATTCCTTCTTCTTATTTACTTCTCAGTTAATATTGATTGTTTGATTGTTTTCTGTGTGCATGCTGACTATTTGGTGTGTTCGTGTATATAGCGTATGGGGATAAGAGGCCGAAGAGGTTGGTGGAGAGGTCGTCTGCTTCTTCTTCTACTACTATTACTCCTTCGGGAATGGGTTCTGGGAAGCGGGAAGGGGAGGGGGAGGAGTAAGTAGAGATTTGATTATGGGATGGGTGGACTTGAGGGTAGGGATGGATGTATTGTATTGTATTGTATTTATATGAGGTATGAATTGCGGTTGTTTTGCATTGGGGAGGAGTGTATGATATTATTTGTTCGTTTGTTAATGCTGAAGTTGTATTATGCTGTACGTCGAGGGCGATACTTGGTTGTGGAACGAAGGATAGAAGGGGGGTCTAAATATCTACCGAGGTAGTCATCATCGATATTTCGATATGTACATCTTCGTAAATACATACATGAAGTAATGATATGTACTCTGATTGATACATATCATCAAGGTAGTTCAGCTAAGCAGAACACTCCGCCCAATCACCCCCAGATCTAGCAAAGCTCAACCCCCTCACAAAGCTATCCCGGGTACATCTACCCAAAGCATCAACTGGACACCCATGCAGCGGGACAACGCGATCATTAACCAAGACACGGACCAGCGGCTCCTGCTCGGCCTGGCATTGCATCATCTCGACGTACAGACGCGAAGCAAACGGAACCGTCCAAGCAGACGAGAACCCATCTGTCTGGGTGATATTCTCCACGGTCGTGGTAGACAGCGGCTTAGTGCCGTTGTACAGACCCAAAGCAAAGAGGATAGAGATGATGCCGTTATCGTGGGAAAAGTCCGCGTAGAGAGTAGAGTTGAGCGGAAAGGTAGCTGGGTTCGAGTCCAATGTGTGGTTGGAGCTGGTGTCATCGTGGACAGGCGAGTGGGTGAGACGGGCGATGAGCTCGTTAGCGTAGCCGACGCCCTGGGTCGGGCCGAGCGGGTTACCTGCGCCATGGCCGTAGTATTTTTTCAGGGACTGGAGGTAGTCGTAGTGGATCCATTCGTCATGGGTGAACAGGTCACAGAAGGGGGACAGCTTGGTGTCGACGGTGCTGGTGGAGATGGTGTCGAAGGAGCACATGTCCATGAGGTAGGTCACTTCTGTGTCTGTGAGAGTCACGCCAGACAGGTCGTTCTCCAGACGTTGACGAATGGAGGGGGCGAACGTGGCGGTGAAATTGGCTTCGACGGTATCGGCCAATTCGCTGTCTTCAAAGACAGTGCAGGTGCCTGGGTCGAGAGTGTTGTTGGATGAGCTGGCCTCGGAAATGACCACGTCGATCTTGGGCGACGATTGGCCAGGCTGGGCACGAGGATCCTTCAGCTTGGTGCTCTGGAAGCCCTCAATGAATTTCTTGCCGGAGGCGATCACGCGGCTGGAGCCAGAGGATCGGATGAACGGAATGATGTTCCTTGTGAGCGATTCGTATCGCTGGTAGAACTTGATGCCGGAGTTGACTAGCTCCTGCTCTCCGAAGGGAGTCAGGTCATCTGCACCCAAGCTGTAGTTGTATGTCTTCAGGAAGGCATATTTTCCATCAAAGGTGGTCACGTTCTGCTGGATCTCCTCAATGAGAGCGGAGTATTTCTTGCCCTTGGACTCGGTCGGATACCGCGCTCCATGACGGGAGAGGACCTGAGCGAAAGTGACTCTGCATCCGGCGGGCACATCAGGGGAGATGGCCGATTCGTTTGCCAGAGAGAAGAACGGCGCGTATTGACCCCAAAGATGCGAAGTCTCGGAGAAGCATTGATACCCCTGATCGACCGTATCGCAAGTGGATTGATTTCTCGAGGCGGGGACTGCCAGTCCGGAGGTGACTCTGCACAGATTGTCAGCGATCAGTAGTCCCACACAGTCCGAGCTTCAGGGGCCCTCGGCAGAGAGGGTCCTTATCAGACTTAGATAGCGGTGCTTAGCCATACCCAGCTAGGAGATACAAAGGAAGTAGAACAGCAGAGACGCCCATGATGCCTATGAGAAGAAGTTTCTTGCACAGTAGCGATTGGCAGCTACGGCCATCGCGCCGGACCGGACGGTCCTCATATAACCCTTTCATCCCACTTTGGCATGCTGTGTGATACTCTACCAGTTCAGGTTAGAAGCTCACAAAGGTGGCCCACGTGCAATGGTGGGATAGATCTTCAGTGGACGAGAGGCCGAATGGGACGGGAAGTCGACAAGGGACGGATAAATCTAGTGTGAGAAGTGGAGGAGCTTTCTCGAGAGAAAGGCAACAGACGGTGTTAGTTGCATCTTCATTTATTGCATTCAAGTTGATCGTTGATCCAGCATTGCCGTGGGACGTCTTGATTGGCTGAACCAGGGCACGTGGACGACGGAAGTTCCCCCGTTGGGAAAGGGTGCCTGGATGCCCTAGGCCGCCATCATTTCTCTTAGCAAAGATCTACATAAATGCTTTCACAGCTGAAGATTCTCGGATGCATGTGTCATCGATTTGTTCCTGCTTATGCTATACAATCTATTATGCTGTGCCGAAAGCCCGAAAGGACGTGGGGAAATCATTAAAACAGAACGCCGAATGATAAACATCGCCCTCGCTCATTAACAGTCAGATAATGGCAGAGTCTATAGCCTGAGATGAGAAGAAGCAGGAAATCATTCAAAGCAATTCATTTGCTGACAGTGCTGCATGCAGCAAGGAGTATCTTCAAAAGTCCACCGTCAGGCCGTTCAACTCATGGCAAAGCGAAGCAGAGAAACCCAACGCCACCCAATACTTAATCAACAATGGAAGAAAATCAGGAGAGACATAACTGAGTAAATGTGTACGATAAATGTATAGAATAGACAAGTTGCATGATAATACCCGATCATGGGAAGACAAACAAGAGGCAACGACAAAGCCACCTTTCAAAATACCACCCGTCCATACACCTATTTCATATGCTGATCACACGAATTGTGCGCAGAGAGCTTTTCCCAATGCTTAAGATGACTTAGCCTCCGGAGGATATGGAAAGAAAACAAGCCTTTTAGGAACTTTTACGGCTCTCAGTCTCCGATGCGCGAGGGCACGCGGAGGTCGATTACATGACAAAAAAAGGGAAAATGAGAAATGAAGATATCTCGAGAATGCGTGTCCCGCTGGCATTAGTAGCCCTCCCTGCGAGCCGCCAGAAGTATCGTAGAGTAATCTGATACTCGAGATGTCAAAGCCAGATTAGGCGTCCGATGTTCACGTTTGCTATTCATCTCATTTAAGAGCTTCGCGCCCATTGTCCCGGAAACTGGGGCAATGATCTTGCTTGCTGGTCGTCGGGCAGCATACCTCGTTCAACGTGGGCTGCCGGATACGAAGTAGGAGTGGCCGACCACGTCACGGGCGGCCTAGTTGACGAACCGGCCATCAGGTGAGATGGCGCTGGGGCCAGCTTCCCACTTCCAGAAGTGTTCTCGACCATCTTTCTGGCCTCCGAGGCATGCCATGTGGCCTCGCGCTCAGAGGCGGTGGACTCGAAAGGCGGTCGTAGGGTAAGCGGGGATGCTGGCCTGGCCGGAAGCTGACCAGTAGGCACCAAGCGGGAGACGTGTTCACGGAAAAAATCCCTCTCAGAGCGATAGAAATCCCGTTCCTGCATCAGAGATCGGATTTGATCGTCCCGCCTCTTCAACTCTTCAGTCTTCTTCTGGATCTCCTCCAGCTGCCCAGCAATCTTCTGCTCCAGCTGCATCTCGTTTCTCTTCCGATTCCGGAACCGCCTCGATGCATCACTGTTCGCCTTCCGTTTCTCTGCCTGGCTAGAGGACCCTGATTTCAAATCTAGTATGCAAGGAATCATGCCAGGGTAAGGGGGATTCTCTGGCTGGGCTCCCGCAGCAGCCGCTTCTTCCCCTGTGGACCTTGGTCCTGCTATGACTGAAGGCAAGCGAGCGGCGGGCTCACTGGATCCGTATGCGGATGCATTGAGAAACGAGGGTGTAGTTTGCTGCATTGGCGCAGCAGACACTGCTGGAGATGACCGCCCGAGCTGACTGTAAGCAGAAACAGGGGTTGTAGGGCTTGTTTCCTGGGAGCTTGGAGCAGGCGTAGGGTTGGCGCTTGTTCGACGGCTGTGGAAAGTTGGAGTCGAATGCATGGAGATTGGAGCTGGTGCAGGATGCGTGGATGTCGAAACCGACTGTCCAGGATATGGATCACCGGATAGGGGAGAGCCAGGAGCTGCTGAATAAGAGGCTAGACGAGATGGGTGAGCCAGAGGAGACTGTGAAACACCCAGTCTCGGGGCGTAACCGCCTCCCGTTGAAACAAACCGCGCAGAAGGAGAGGCTGGGGCGATGGCCTGATGATGCTTCATAGCGGGAGACGCAGAGAGGCGTTTTGCTGGGTGAACGGAGGGAGAGGGAAGATGGACTGATGGGGAGGAGGGCAGTCGGGCATGGGATGGTGACGATGAAGTAGTCGGCACCTGGGACCCTAATGGTTCGCGACCGGGTTCTGCTGTAACGACTGCTGCTTTTGACGGTGGGTTCAAGATCGACTCAACGCCGATGGAACGAAGCTGAGTAGATTTCACGGAAGGTTCCACAGGAGCTGATGGTTGCCAGGAAAGAGGCCGGGGACGCACAGGGTCCGGTCCATCGGAAGATGCAGAGTCATCGTCTGAGCGAGGCCGCTTTCTACCAAACGTACTGTGATCCTCGGCCGGATGTGCATCGCCTGGGGAAGGGCCAGTCAAGGTGGACGACATATGCTCCGATTCTCTTTCGATAGATCGATGGAGCGACCTAGGGCATTGCTGGGCCCCCTCTCTCTCCAGATGAGCTGGAGACTCGTGAAGAGCTGCCTGAGAGAGGGAGCCGGCGGGTTGGGCAAGATGGTAGCCTGACAGCGAATGATATTGTTGCGAGGAATGAACCGGGTGGGAGTATGGAAGACTCGCCAACACACTGATCCCGAGGGTAGCCACGGTGAAAGGAAAATCACGGAACCACAAGAGATAAAATTAAAGGGAAAAAAAGGAGGACCAGGTGGGAGAAACCCGGTTGCTTCAAGGGAAGAAGTGAAACCCCAATATCATACACCCGGTGGTGCTGCTTGTTCCCGACTAGGAGGGTATTGTTGGTTGCAGAAAAGACAGAGGAAGAAAGAAGTGAGTACTACACGATAGTGACCAGCAGTATACCGGATGTAGTAGTCGTAGGTAATATGGCAGATTAAGAACCGTGTAGATCGCACCGACAAGAAGTAAGATGATGTTTTCTTTTAGATGGAGGTAAAGGGCAGCAGAGGATGAAAGAAATACAAATTATCTATAACGATAAACGAATAAATACGGAGAATGGGAGAGCAAAGAGGAAGAGAAGAGGAAGATGGATAGAATGGAGGGCCAGCAGGGACGGGGAGGTGACAGTTGGAAGAACGGACAAGAAAAGAAGAAGTCAAGCCAGACTGTCCAGGAACTATGATGATTTATGATGAGGATTAGTTTTTCTGATTATTTTCTCTAGGCATGGTTTTATTATTATTATTGCTCGCGGACGGCTTTCCCGTAGGAGCAGAGACGATCGTAAAGTAACCTCGAACCGTTGTTGACAGCATCATTCGGCGGTGTGAAACGAAACGACAGTGAAAATAAAATATAATAAGGATGGGATTAATCGGAAATCAGAATAATAATAAAAATCAGAATAAAAAAAATAGAAATAAGAAAAGAAAGAAAAAAAAATAAAATAAAATCCTAATCGATCAAAAAGAGAAGAAAAAAAACTGATTGCTGGGATGAGATGGGCGGGGGCGACAAAAAACAAGAGTGGGTGGGACCCCATGAGTTGAACCCAGAGACGTGGGAAGAGGAGACAACTAAGACAAGGACCCGAAGCCGACTTGCATTTGGCGGATCGCGCATGTCACAACAGTGAGAGATAATGAGAAAGAGAAGAAGAAAAAAACAAAAATTTTAGAAAAATTCTAAAAAAGGAAGACTAGTTACCAACTCCGAGTGAGAGGAACAAGAAACAAGAGAGTACACAGCACGACCGGCATGCTTAGGGGGGAAAGAAAGCAAGCAAGCAAGCAAGATGGCAAAGTGTATAAACTAAAGTAGAAAAAGAGAGTTTCGAGGTCAGTATCCATACCGACATGGGTGTGTGCCTTCTTACATACATACATACATACAGCTTACATACATGAATACATACCGAGTACCTCGCCATAACCTCCTTCCGGTCAGAGGTACTTACATTCGACATACATACATCTCAGTCATACATACGTGGAGACTCTTGTTTCCCTCCCCTTCCGCCCCCCGACAGCCTGGCTTAACCCAGGCCTGGTTGGCAGAGAAGGGCCTACTACCTATCCTGCAGCCCATTCTCATGATCATTATATGTATTATATTATTATTATTATAATTATTAATTATATATAATATCTCAACTGTATTATTATTGATCTATCGCGCCCACCATCGAAGCACCTAATCTACTTGCCGTCTTAGTACCCAAAATACGTACTTGTTGAGAAGTTCGAACCTCGGACCTGACTCGTACTTAGCAGGGTGATACGGACATACATGCAGATTGCATACTTTAGATTAGGTAGTAGGACCTGGACAATGATACCCGGTGGCCAAAAGTACCAATTTAAATAGTAATAAAAAGAGAAAGAAGATGAAGAGAGGGGCTAGTGGAGGCAAGTCAACGCCATAAATGAGAGAGACTCGGGGGTGACGGAATCTCACTGCACTGGAGCTGCTGGGCTGGGAAGCTGTTCCCAATATAGTTGTTGGGTAGGAGGTAAACTAGTCATGAAGAGGAAAGGGTCTTTAGTACTACTATTTTGCTCAGTAGTAGTGGATCATCATCATCATCCATCATCTTGTCCAGAATAATCGCTGACGAACGTGGATATGATTTAAAATGGGGGGAAATAATCTCTCAAAAAGTATAACAGTTAGCTTACTGCGCTATCAAAAAAAAATTGGGGGGTGCTATAGGGATGGGGACTCCATACCTAGACTACTTGTAGAAAAACCATTTACACACACTCACCCACCACTCTCCCAAGTGAGTTGGCCATCTTGGAGATTGAACTTTCCTTTACTTGCCGAAGCAGGAAATCTACGAGAGAGCGCGCCGCCTCGGGAATGGAGCTATTAGTTTTCTGGGTAGTGGATTAGGGATCCCACGGGATCCTTTCACAGCCCCAGCTGGCTGGCCGAGCGAAGCGTGCATTGATTTACTAGGCAGACAGACAGACAGAGAGAATCCCAGGTATGTCAGTAAAAACTGCTAACTAATTAACTAACTACCTGGCCAACAAACGTAACCCACTAAAAAGAGCTAGTGAGGTCACTAGAGGCAACTAACACCGGCCTTGGGGCTGGGGAAAAGGTGCAGGTTGAACCGGAGCGCTTAAACTGGGCGCGCCAGCACTATGGATCAGTGGAGGCCCTGAGATACCTGCTTGGTACTTTACCGATACCGACCGATTCAGCCGGATATCAGGCTGTGTCGGGTTCCTTACGGTACCTATGAGGTATACTGAAGGTATCTTTCCTCCGTTTCTTTACGCCATACTAAAAGCACATCACTCACTTCCCGAGTGCACTTACCGCCTAAAAGTGCCATCAACTCACTATCAGAGCATAGTACTATTCAACCGTCGACTCCATAGCTACCATCTACTAGACGGTAGTAGTCTATACAGAGCCTCTAAGCCTGAAATCATGCCACTCGAGGGAGTATGACTAAGTCACCGGTTTCTCTCGGAAGGATTTCACCTCCATTACTTATGACGATCTCAGACTAACACTGCTCAAGGTTTTGGTGCTTCGCATTTCGTCTCCACGGATTTCACTTGCCAATCCACATCTCGATACTGATAGACTTCGGGTGTCGCTCGCAGCCCCAACAGCCTCAACTATATCATGTTAGCTAAGTTGAATGATCGTCACTTACGAGATAGTTTGTTGCACGAGTGACATGGCTGGATCGAACAAATGGACTTGTACCGGTTAGGAAATAACATCCACCCCCAAGGTGGAAAACCCGGCCAGAATGGACGGAGTCTTGACCGAAAGTAGAGATAGGAAAAAAAAAAAAAAAAAAAAGGAAAAAGACGAAAGACAACTACAACGAAAAAGAAAAATCTGAAAAACCGGAATAGAAAAAAAGAAAAAGAAAAAAAAAAAGAAAAGAGAAAAGAGAAAAGAGAAAAGAGAAAAGTAAACATCTAGCTAGCTCTAACTCTGAATGAAACCATGTCGTGGCTTTGTGTTGCCGGCTGTTTTAGACCCTCGTTCACCCTTCAGGCGACGCTTATCCGGACGGGTCTTTCCTGCCTATCTACCTAAGACTAGATGCCTTAGCCCCAGAGTAGCTGCCGTGCCAATTCCTCCTAAGAAGCTAAAACAAGGCCCTCGTCTAGTTCGCATCGGCAGATGGGGCGGATGGCCTCGCTTCTCCCACTCAGGACGCCCAAATCACGATGTCTTGCATGCATGCGGGCAACATGCTTTTGCCTTCCTTTCCCCCCAAATGTGGATGACAGACGGGTGACCGTCGTCGTTCCCATGTCAGCTGCTGATCACCGTTGCTTCTCACCATTCTAGTTCTCAGGTTGCCATCCTTCAGTACTCCTCGGGGGTTCAGTCACCGTTACTTCCTTACCTCGAGGTCGACTCTTCCTTATCACAGGGTGTCTTGATAGGCATGTTTGGTGACCTCGTTTGTCTCAACCTAAGGGGTCCTTCCTGGTGGCTTAGCAGAGTCTTTAAAAACTGGGTCTATGGGCTGTAAGGATCTCCTTTCGTTGCACGCAGGCAACAGAGAAGACAGATCATCGGAGAGACTGGCTCGTCATCATCATACTGCCTTCTAAGTGGTCCACGGAGGATGCTTTGTGTTTTCATTCGGACTTTGGTGTCCATCGAGGTCGGCCCAAAGGCCAAAGAGAAACTGTGGTGTTTCAGCTACGTCATCGGGCATCAATCGCTCTCTAAACACCTCAGAAGCAAATGTGCAATAGATGGCACTTGCTGTATATCCCGCAAACTTCATGGGGACATAAATGTGTCTTGCCTACCTTGAATCATCAGCAGCATACTCATAGACTCTATATTGCATTGTAACTGCTTCGTTGTAGAGGTTCTTGGTCTCGAAGAATGTTCTCGGACTGTAAATGTTGTTAGAAAGTCACCGGATTAAGGAGATATCCACTTGCAGGCTGTAACACAGCCCAAACATATGCAACGAGTGCAGTTAGCATCCTCTCTTTTTCAGCAGTGAAGCTCAAATGCTAGGGTAACCCAGCAAGAACTCTTGGGTGCTGCAGGCGGAAGCCAACTACTATTAGAGACGGGCGTACAGGCTGGATTGGTGGGATATAACAGAGTCCCCGAAGCTTGCATCATGGGGACCAGGCCACTAAATTCTGAAACTATTGGTGGCCGAGCTAGTCCGGATTGCCGCGTCCTTGACTGTCAGGTGGCTCCCACTTGCTTCGCTTTGTCTTTCGACCATTTCATGACCATCGTACTATCTATGGTAACATCGCCTATACTTTGGGGTTTAGAGGGCATTGGTTGGGACGGATCTCTAATCTCTGCTGCATGCATGAGATTGAGACACGATGCTTGTACTTTTGAACTTGAGAAGTGGGACCGGAGAAGTCAGGCAGAAAATCGAAGAAAATAAGAAAATAAGATAATATTGACCATTGGAATAAGGCAAAGGAACAGAAAATAGAGTAAAGTAGGAAAAGAGAGTCCGTAGATCTGTCAAGTACATATGTCGGTAAGGATCGGTGAGCTCCATGCTTCTGCAGAAAGTAGCGAATTACCTGCAGTGAGCTTGGGAAATGTCTCTGCGATCTAGCCGATCCAAAGGCCGCCATTGGCTAGCAGCAGGAAAATTGGTGGCCCTTCCTTCGTTTTCAGTGGGCGGGCCCCCCTCTGTACTACCTCAAAGGGACTGTTGCTTCGTCTAGCTGGCGCACCCAGCTGAATTGGGAATTCCCCCCTGCTACGGAGTAGTCAATGCCTCCGTTAGTCACTAGAGTATTTCACACGCTGGATGGTTCGCTCTGAAACCCCACGGACGGGCGGTAACCTCGCTAGCTACGGCAAACAAGATTCGATCGCATTCGTATCTCCCTTATCAATATTGAACAAATCATAGCTACTGCCCGTCATTAGGTCATGAAAAAGACCGACGATGATGGTATTGCCGCGGAGTAAGGGTGATGTTCACCGTGTCGGTATAGGGTAAATTTTCTGGTTATGCGAGCGGCACATCGGTTCTGGAAGCCTCTTCTAGCCAACTGCGGGTCACGCCAACTTGGTCTTCATATGGTGAGCCAATTCGTGCGGAACTACATGCGACTTAGTGGAAGGTTGGCGGTAGAGCTAGTAGCTACCTGCTATCTAGCTCTTCTCTCTATGGTAGAAGAGGTACACACGTTACCTGATTAATATGTGCGGGAAGTGGAGACGAGGTGTTCCGTCCTCATTTGATTCATCCATCGTGGCGGCTTGACGGGACCAGGGATGGCATGGGATAATGAGACTGATAGCAGACGCCAGTCAGGCCAGCGGTCGGGATCGGAATCATTCTCCGCCTTCCCCATTTGTGTGCCTCTTTTCGTTCATTGTTTGCTCTGGTAATGAAAGACATTATTTTATCCTTGTGGATTCAATTGGTCCCTAAGTGGTCACCTATTCTGCCACGGTAGCGAATCCCGGCGACTGTTGATTTTCATTTATTTATTTTTTCTTTCTTTATTCCTGCCCTGGGCTAAATTATGGCCCAACCCGGCACCGCTCTGTGGTACTAAAAGACACTAGGCCGGGGAAGACCACGGGGACGCAGGCGGAATTGGAAATGGGGACGAAGTGTGAGAGAAGCTGCATTAGTTCGTGCGTTAGCTCCTGTTTTAGTCGGAGGAGAGGAGAGGGGGCTTTTCCCAGAGGAGTGGTTCCTGGTTGCGTGCTATTGACGGTTATCAATTTAGACCATGGGGAGGGACGAATTTCGAGGCAAGCCGTCGGAAAAGGATGGTTTTGGAAGAATAAGGTGGCTTCGGTCTGAATTCTCGAATGTTGGTTTTCGAACCAAGGGGAGAAGAAGGTTGCGAACACGGCACCCTCGGCCATCTGACCTGCCTTCCTTCACAATCCTGCGAAGGAAGTGTATCTTACCCAAGGAGGAAGGTGAAGACGGATTATTATTTCGAGAACTTATCAATCACGACGCCATTCGATCCTAGCAATAACAAAGCCCTTTTTCGATCGCCACAGAACCTGCAGTGAATGGTATTGTCTCCTCATTGCTTTTTCCTCCAATATTCTTCATTTTTTTCGTATTTCATTTTCTCCCTACCAAGCCTTCCTTCCTTTCCCCCACCCTCCTTTGCCTCATTATTTGCTTCCTGCTGGACTGTCAGTCTCCAAGTTATGATTCGCCTTTTTTCGGTGCCGCTGTAGCCGTCTTCAGCTAATTGTCAACGGTTATCCTAGTGAGATTTATCTCATCCTGTACTTATCAATATTATCTATCTTCTTTCGCCGTAAATTCAAAATTGTTCGCATTTTCTCTTGACACTGTTTTACCTCCATAGGTTACGGGTCCAGATCTCCCAACCACGGAGTACGCAGGCAGCAAATCTGCGCATCGGAAGGTATCCACTCTGTGCCCTCCGTACTTTCGAACTGCTGGCCCTGCGTCGCTTAGCTGGTAATCTCATGTACGTAAGGATGTGCATACTTACATCTGTACTTATTGAATGTAAGTATAGTAAGTGTACAGTCAGGGAACTCAGTAAAAGTACTATTACCCTGCAGAGAGAGAAAAAAAAAAACAACAATAAGGGGGAAAAGTAAAATACATATACATAGCCAAGTGGCTCCAGTCCATCCACGAGTCTCTCCGTTTGCCTGCATAACTTAATAATGTACCTATCATCCACCCCCCAGGCCAGGCGGCAATGATATCAGAATAACCGGTATGTTCACATGGAAGGGTTAGCTCCGGCTAGATCCCAGGCCCCAGGGTAAGTGATGGTATTGCCGTAGCGCATATGTGCGGCATATGCATGCAACATGCTTCACACTTGTCACCCACCTTCCTGGGAGAAGTCAAGCGATCATCGAGTTAGACTCCGGATAGGGCAGGAACCTCTGCATGCGATCTAAAGATCCTGTGAGCTAGATGCCATTGTAAAGGACCCGGAAAGAAGGTAGGAGGAGGAGAATGGCATTATGGGTGAGCACTTGTTTGTTTCTGGCTGCAGCCTGCATGCCTGTTTTATCCTCAGGCATCAACCTTTTTTGGGGCGTACTTTGTACCTACTAAAACCTGTGTGTGAATGCATGACTGGATTTACTTCTGATCATGTCACAATAAGTAGATGCTAGAATGCTAGAATGTACCTTGCCATTCAGGGCTATACATTACTCCAGTAATAGCCACTGAGATTATTCTAGGCCCATCTTTACCTGCCGAGTGTATTCATGCTCCGTCGACTTGCTTGACTCTGGTTACTTTTCCCACAACCTTCCTCATGCAATGTAGCGGTAAGACGAGTGACAACTTCCACAACAGATCATACCTTCGGATTGTATCTCTACTTAGCCTCTCCGTTGTGGTTGATGATCAATGTACACATTTAATTCTTCACTTCATAATAATAATCAACAGACTAATCCTAATAGGAACATTGGCAAGGAAGACAAAGGTTAATTTGGATGAGCAGTCAGCAAAACAATTAGGGGCGAAAAATAAAATGAAAAAGAAAGCAGAAAGCAGAAAGAAGACATACACTTCCAGGTCTGCTGACTTGCGGTTCCCAAAAGTCCCAGTGCCAACTCCTCTGCACCCACCGTTCGTCGATCCGCGGACCTCTCACTTATCCTCCGGTTCCGACACGGCCAAGGCAGCCTTTCATCTTTCTTCATCGGAAAGAACGACAACTGCAAGGGTACGTATCTACTGCTGCCAATATACTTTCAATCCTGACCTCCAGCATGTCTATCACAACATGTAACAACGATGCAGATATGTTTCACAACATACCCTGTACTGTAACCAGAAGTACCTGATTGCTCCACCTCAGCTCTGTGCGAATCCTGTGGCTAACAGACTCATCATTTTCTTCTGGGCAGACATTACACTTTGGTTGGAACAGCTGTCTCAAAGACTCATTTTCACGATTATGTTGATCTCTCTAGATGGGTATACAGACCATACGGCTCCAACCTAGATGCTCCAACTGGTGATTCCTTTCAAGGTGATAGTTCGACAAGCGGTCAGATCGGCTTATCTCTAGCAACCAACTAATTGCGCTAGTCTATCGAGTACTACCTATTGCGGGCTGCCTTCAAGTCGAAACTCATTCTTAGGCTTACCCTTGATGCCGACGTCGACTCTATAGAGCCGGCCTCCATACCGGACGGATTCCGGAAGCTGGTCATCATTGGTATCATCCTTGGCGGTCGTGATGAAGAGCTCCGTTCCCACAAAAACTGGACAGGTAATGTTTCGAGTGGGAAAAGTTATCTCGCCAATGACCTTGCCCTCCGGCGAAATACGAATCACCTTTCCACCACCGTAAATAGCACTCCATATACACCCCTCCTCATCGATGGCAAACCCATCTGGTTCTTTCGGCTCCCCAATGTCAAAGAACACCCTTCGGTTGCTGATGTCCCCGGTCTCAGCATCGAAATCAAAGGCGTAAATCTTGCCGGTGGGAGAGTCGGTCAGGTACATAGTGTCATCCGCAGGATTCCAGCCAATCCCGTTGGGAATCGTCACCTGTTCAACCATGCGGTGCAGTTTCATGTCCGGGTCTAGCCTGAATATCACACCTTCGTTGACTGGGTTCTGCACCTTAGGATCGTTCATGGCTCCAGCCCAGAAGCGTCCGTGGCTGTCGACGGCCCCATCGTTGAAACGCATTCTGTTTTGATGACGTTCCCGATGAGTCAGACCCCACGAGGAGGATGACAAGAAAGCTGGATTATTGACTTACCTATGCTCCTTGGCCGGATCGTCCCACGCTTTCTGAATATAGGACAGTGCGCCCGTGGTGCGGTCAACCAGGGCGAATCCATGTTTTGCGGCTACGACGATCTGGTTTTCGCGTGAATCCCCAGCATTCGCAATGTTGGCGGTTACTCTACAAGAGTTCGGAGTATGATATTAGTGTCTTTTTGGGCACCGCTTACGGTGTAATTATTCTGTGGGCCAAGGAGTCTAGCTAGGAGCGACATACCCGATTGACGCAGATGTGTCCATGATCTTCAGGGAGTCGGGGCCTTTGGCCAGGTCCAGAACGTATAGTTTCTGCTCCCAGATATCGACAAAGCGGAACTCATTTCTGGTCTTGTCGTGAAACGGTCCCTCCAATAAGGTTCCTGGTACATCGACATACGGCTGCATACAGAAACCAGTGTGAGGATCAGCCTCCTAGTTCTTACCTCCTTGGGCCGGTCGCCTCCATGCAAAAATAAACGTGAGATACCATACCTCAGACACCGTCCACTTTTGGTACTGGAAGCCGGACATTTTGATGGCAGGCTGATGTGCAATCCTCAGAACCGGTGGTTCAGATATGGGGATCAGATCGGGAGCAACCGTGGACTCAGCTGGGTCGAGACACCCTAGTCAGTTTAAGGAAATATGCGTGGCGGCTAAAACCAGACGATTGCTGGAAAATGGAACAGTTGTGTGAGGGCTGAGGAATCCAGCCCGAAAGAGAGAATCGATAGTCGAAGTCTCATGGGCAGCTTTTCGGGATTGTCCTCGGTTGCCAAGCCCAGTCGCCAGTCGTCCCCGCACGAACCTCATCGAACACTTTTCTGGTTCTTCTCACCTTAGCGTTAGGAGCTCATGGCTAGTGGGGCTAGCTGGCTTCTGTGTGCTACGGTGCTAGTCTACGGAGTACTATCTACGTACCAGCACAGGCAGTCTGGCAGTCTGGCACTGCCCATCGGGTCACTGCTCCGTGTCAAGTTAGTCGGTACTTTCACCGGTGGGTGGCCCAATCCAGGTGCCACGGGTGCTAATCAAGTCTGGACTAAGCAAACCGCGTCGGTTTCAGCTGAAGCTCGGCCTCCTGCTCGTCGTGCCAATAAATAGACATAGTGTCTCATCGGATGTTCGTGTCTCTCACGGCTCAGGAAAGTACTCCAAAGGTCCAAACACCCGGCTCGATGCCCTTTTCACTATTGAGACCGCCGGGATTTTGGTGGATACGATTATTGAAACCCGCCATCCAGGCGCGACTCCAACCAATGGAGCTGACTATCACCTGTCATGTGAATTGGTAGCAGCTATCTGGACCAACAGTTTCGTCACAGCAAACGTGGGAATACTTATCGAATGAATGCCCAGGAAAAGCAAAGACGAGAAGGAAGAGGAAGCCAGGTACCCACCGGCGAATGCGTTTGATCGGGCTAATTGAATGGAGTCTCACCATGACGCCAGCCAGCCTTGGTGCTGTCAGTGACAGGGTGCGGCAGGCTTCCCGTGTTCCGCCTCATTTGTTCCAGACAAGGGTCGCGGTGGAGCAAAATCACATACGGGGCGATGTTACGGACAAATAGGAATGCACCCGGGGAGACCTCTCCTTGGAGCATTGTGGCAGTCTGGAAAATATGGCGACAGCCAGTAGCGGTTTAGTTTAGGGCTTAAAGCAAGCTGCGCGACAGAGCAGGATCAAGCAATGTGAGTCCCGGATCTAAAAGCGTTCCTTGGATGCAGACACGGCATATCCGCCCAGGGTCCCAAATTTCGGAATGATGTGGAAGATTTCCCTACCAGTTGGAGGCCAGCCTTCTGACTTACAGCCGTTACAAACGACAGCTCCCCTGCACTGACCACCCAATATTCCTAAAAATTGGATCTTACTGGTAGTATACCTACCTCGTCCAAAGGTCGCGACTAGTTACATTCTACAATGTGCGTCGTGCCAAGAAAAAAAGGGCATTAAGTAAGAAAAAGAAAGCAAAAGAAAAAGGGAGACTCAAAAGAAAGCAAAAAACGAGTCAGAGAGATGGATAGTAAAGGAGCAGCTACAGTATTCCTAGATTGCAATTCCTTCGGGACTGCGCCAACGCTAGGCAGGATCCTCGCCTATGGTTTGGCAGACTTACGTTGCTTTTGCTGGCTAGACCGGGTTACTCTAGCTGACCTAGTGAGAGAGTTGCAGCACAGACTGAGACTTTTGCGACTGCCCCCATCCAGGCGGTCTAGCAACATGGCTATTGATGAGCGAGACTACACGCCGGCAACTTAACGATGGAAGTGACCTTGATCTCCGTCTATCTGGGGTGATCGTCGTCATAGTGCTAATCATGTACGAAAGAAGTAAAAGAGGGTGATAAAGTCACGGTCGGTTGATGGGGGGCGTTGGCCACAATCCGCGACGCTGCATTGATTGACGGTCGGACGGCCCAACATTGGGCCATCGACGGTGCAGATATACGAACGAACGGAGTCGGCCACACAACCTTAATAGGTCATCCAGCGTAGCCAGGCGGGGGGAAGAAAGCATTCGACCAGCTCAACGGTGATGCATCAGTTGGGCGGGCAGACAGTACCTGCAGGAGGCAAACACGACCGATATTTCGAGCCAGTGTTCGGTGGATCACTCAAACCAGCAATGTGTCCGCGAAAAATGCGGTGTACGGCAGCAGACTGGATGCGGCGTGTCATGTCGGTCATATCGGTAGCTGGAAGACTCTAGCCAGTGGGTATAGGTTTAGGTGGGTAGTGGGCTGTGGGCAAAGAGCCGGCGGCGCGCGGGCTTGGGGGGGAAGAGGGGGGATATCCCCGACCGTTGTAAAGTGAGTGGTCACATTGAAGAGAGGGGAAGGATGAAAGGAGGAAGGAGGGGGGTGTGATGCCGCATGGCATGTTGAGATTGAAGATGGATGTACTTATGTATGCAAGTGTGTCCAGATTTAGTTCTCTCCGCGCGCGGTGCGATTGCAGGCGGCGAGGAGCAGCGATGGGGCCGCACGGCGCGAGGCCTAGGCAGCCCTCACATGATCGATTCTTCATGCACGACAATGTAACTTTACATGGCGGGTGCAGGTACGGGGCCCTGCGGTATGGTATGTATGTATGTATGTATGGTATGTTTGGGTCTCGGTTACGGTAAGTATGGTATTTCCCTTACCCAGCAGGAAAGTGGTTGACTATCAAGTAGGAGAATCCATGTCGAGCACAATCCTCTTGACAAAGAGGGGGGAAGGAAAGAGTAGGAGAGATACTGTATACGCAAGTGTCTGAGCAATCCCATGTCATGTGTGGCGACTGGGGAGACAGACAGGATCAACCCTGATCAGCCAGCTAAGACCCCCTCATCCTCTCTCACACAATCTCTTCCTCCTCCCCGGAGCCAGCAACTCCGGCAAACCCATGCCCAGCATGCTCCAACCTAGCTAACCACCTACTAGTAAGAGTAAAGTAACTCCTGTAAGCCCCGACCCCAGTTCCAGTCCCAGTCGCAACCCGCCACGACAGTCACGACAGTCACGACACATGGCTCTACGTTCGCAATGCAGCTAGCTAGCCCCCCAGCCCAGCCAGCCAAAAACCAAATCCTCCGTCCATCCTTCTGCCTATCTCCTCTACTAGTTAACCTGGTAGGTACCTAACCTGCCTGCACATTGCCCTTCCCCTCCCTCCCTTTCCTACCAATGGCGATGCACGGACACGTGAATTCGACAAATATTTGACGCTTGGCTGATGCTCATTGGGTATTGGCTTTATGTATGTGGCTTTTTTGGGTATTTCTTGCATTAGGTTGGGGGTGGTGCTTGCTGTGTGTTGGCATTAGTGTCGGTGGGAGTGAGTAGTTAGTTGCTGGGAGGGAAGTGTAATACTACTTACTAAGTTGGTTAAGTGGTAGGACCATGTTCTATCCTGAGGTAGTAAATAGTATGTAATGAAAGTATGTGTGGGTTGAACAAAACATGAAGTTAACTGTTTGAGTTTGATTCATCGGTTTAGTTGCTATGATGCTACTACATTATGATACTTGAATTATCCATGTTGCGGGTGGGTATATATCTGTCAACAATTATGACCTACCGAGGCTTAATATAAACCTAATACTGGCTCCTAGCATCTTATTATCAAGCAGTTATCAGTTTGCTTAATGGTTAGCATGTATCTACCCGCAATAACTACCTAGCCTACTAACTAAGCCCAGTAAGTAAGCGGTGATAGTTAATTTCGTTTCTTCAACTCCCAACAAACAATCATTCAATCATTCAACCAACCACGCAAACACACACACATACATACCTACATATATGTATGTATGTAAATGATTATCAAACACGCACGCACACATGCACAATGCAGTAAACAAACCCTACCGAAAGTAATCCCCAAGCAAACCGCATAAATCTTTGTTCAAAAGTAAGATGAAGATGATACATGCATACTACTCCGCTTACAATTTCTTAAATTTTCTCTCATCGGAAGATATTCTCAACTTCATTACATTATTTAGTTCTAGTCTTCGTTTGGATACAGTTATACAGTTCTGTTTGCTTTGCTTGACTGCAATTGTCTTGGATATACTCTGCGTCATGAAAAAGTGCAGTATGCATGCACTGCAGAATGTGGGATAGATAGAGAAGTTCGAAGCGAGGATTGTTGTTTCCGGATGTAGTTTAGTCGCGGTTTCATATATAACTTTTGTTTTGATTGGGATGATGATGATGGATAAGTCATGATGTGTAGTTGGATACATTAGTATGATTGCATGTAATATTTATTTCTAGATAGATTTCATATTAGCATTAGAGTATATCCACTTTTAATAGAGTATTATAGTGTTTAGAATATATATATAAGTGGGCACTAGTAGTACCATGATCCTCTAGTAATTCATTTCTAATGGAAAATATATATATATAAACACTGGAAGAATACCAACCCCAAGAAATATATAGTTAACTAACCCTGCACACATGCAATGCAGGTAAGCAAGTCAAGTCAAGGGGATGATGGGATGGGATGGGATGGGGTATATCTACCGACATGCAGATGGAAAACATTTATACTATGTATGTCACTCCCACTTCCACCTCTTACTCCTCCTACTCTCCACATCGCCATTCCAAACTTAATTTCTTCATTCTATTATATTATATTTAAATCATTATGATGTTCTACGACTACCAACACATGTACATGTACATGTACATGCACCTCTGCACGAAGCACTGAGTTGTCACTTACATACGACCCTACATGCAGACTACAAATCACACTCACTCTACAGTAGTAGTAGTACTTACAGTACCAACTTCTCCTACATAGAGAATAAGAGAAAGTATATATATGCATGTAAGAAAAACTCTCAGCAGCCAAGAAAAGAAAAAAAACAAACAAACCCACCCATCTAGAATCGAATCTACACCCCCTTACTTCCTTAACAACACTTAACTCATAAGCATCTTCACTACTTAAGTACATGTGAGTAAGCCCGGTTCTTGTCCAATCGGTTTGAGACTCCCATTATATTTCTGTAATAGCATAAGCAAGTAAGTAAGCAAGCAAGGAAGGAAGCGAAGCAGATATGATATGGTAAGTCAGATCAGGTACTCATGCTTTGCATTTAGAGTGTTTGGGCTTGGCGCGGGGGGAGAAAGTAATTTAACTTAAGTTGTTGGATTTGATTGATTAATTGATTGAGTGATTGATAGTTTGCAAGGTATGTATGTATGTATGGGTTTGAAACCGGATTTGAATCGTGACTGTTGGGTTTCTTTTGTTTGTCTTGGGCTTCTGATTGATTGAAATGGTTGGGTTTGTTGGTGCTTGGAGTGTTAGGTGATGTGCATGTTATTTATTGATGTGCAGATGAATGGACATGCATGTCCATGCCAATGTGGATGGGTTCATTGAATCGTGTGGAGACAGGTAAGCGAGTACTCTGTCCTAGGTATATATGCTGTGAGATCTGGTATCTGGATGTGTAACGTTTGGGCTTGTCTTTAGGCTAAAAGGGTTTTGTTTGTGGCGGGTTGGGTGCTACATCACGGCTTACGGTGGAATGTGAAAGATCACTCAGGCTCAGAGTCACAGCCTGCTTGCCAGTTGACATGGCTGAATTATAATACATTTTTTTTCATCGTCAGTCAGGGTATAGTCAAGTTGGCAACAACACACCAATTTTATGTCAGTCATCGGGTACACGACATGCAGCCAATGTCGCAGAGCCACATAGCATCTCTCTTTCCCTTCATGCAGCGCCATCATCACAACAGTCCATCGGATGCATGTGTATGTGTTCGTCCTACCAGGCTCGTCCCACAGATCACGGTTGCAATTCATTCGCCGTCATTTGTACAATTTGTGCTCGCCTACAGCTTCGTTCCCAGGTTGACATGGACCGCTTTGACCTGTGAGTAGGCCTCCAGACCGGCCTCGCCAAGTTCGCGCCCAATTCCACTCTGCTTCACACCACCGAAAGGCACCCGGATATCGCTGTCGTTGCTGCTGTTGATCCAGACCATGCCCGCTTCGATTTCCGACGCAACCCGGTGCGCACGCTCAATGTCCTTGGTGAACAGGGCAGCGCCCAGTCCATAGGTCGTATCGTTGGCCCGTCTGACAGCCTCGTCCTCCTCCGAGAAGCTGGAGATCACAACAAACGGTCCGAAAACCTCCTCCCGGTAGATACGCATGTTGTCCTTGACGTCGGTGAAGATAGTGGGCGCAATAAAGAAACCCTTGCCGTCACCGACGTTCTTGAACGGCTCGCCACCGGCCACCAGGGTCGCTCCTTCGGACTTGCCAGCTTCAATATAAGAGAGCACGCGGTCGTACTGGGCCTTGGTGACCTGGGGACCCTGGAAGGTGTCGTCGGCAAAGGGGTCGCCCACCTTGCTGGTGTTGGCCACGGCTTCCTTGAAGAGGGCCACGAACTTGTCATAGACGGACTCATGCACCAGGATACGAGAGGTGGCGGTGCAAACCTGTCCTTGGTTGTACATGATGCCCGCATGCGCCCACTTGGCGGCCTGGTCGAGATCGGCATCGCTGAAGACAACCAGGGGCGACTTGCCACCTGTCTCGAGCGTAATGTTCTTCAGGGTGCCTGCAGCCAACTTCATGACTTCACGGCCAGTCAACGTCGAACCAGTGAAGGCAACCTTGTCCACCCCGGGGTGGGACACGAGCGCACTTCCGGCTACGCGTCCAAAGCCGTTTAAGATGTTGACAACACCTGGCGGGAAACCGGCCTCCTTGATGAGGTTGGCCAGATAGAGAACACTGAGCGGGGTCTGCTCAGCCGGCTTCAGAACCACGGTGTTTCCACAGGCCAAGGCAGGACCCAACTTCCAGGCAGCCATAGCGAGAGGGAAGTTCCAGGGGATAATCTGGCCTACGACACCAATTGGCTGACGGAGAGTATAGGCAAACTTAGCCGGAGTGGTACTAATCGTCTGACCATGGACCTTGTCGGCGTATCCAGCATAGTACCGGAGACAGCCGACAACCTCTCCCAGGTCATCGTTCAGCGAAACCGAGTATGGCTTTCCTGAAGGGGGTCAGCATCTGATGACAGTCTTTGGGGAACAATGTGAAGCTCTTTACCATTGTCCCACGTCTCAATAGTGGCCAGCGTCTCCTTGTGCTGCTCGACCAGGTCGGCCAGCTTTAGCATCAGGGTGCCTCGTTCAGTCGGAGGCAACAACTTCCATGAGGGGTGGTTGAGGGCTTTCCGGGCAGCCTTCACAGCAATGTCCACATCTTCTTCACCCGCAGCATAGACGGAAGTGATTTCCGCTTCATTGCTAGTTTTGGTCAGCAACAGATCCATGACAGATACTCGGACAGGATTCACGTACGAAGGGTTGATGGTAGCGAACTTCTCCCCGGACCTAGAAGCGACAAACTCGTTGTTGATGAACAGACCAACCGGCTGAGCATATGTACGCCCATTCGGGGCTGTCAACTGTACGGACAGATCGCTCATGGTGATAGAAGAGCTATGGAAGTGATGGCGATGAGGGGAGAAGGCAACGACTGGCAGACGAGAAGAAGGGACACCACGCAGCCGCAGAGAGGAGAAGGAAAGACAGCGAAAGGGAGCGGGGAAAGAGGAGAAGGGCATCGAGGGGGAGATTTTATGTATGGACGAAGCTGAAGGGAGAGAGAGGGTTGAAGGTGATTAGTGATTAATGATTAGTTGGTTGAAGGGAAGCCGGATGAAGCATCCCCGCCAGCGAAGGATGGAAGAGCGAATGGGAGAGGCGGCGGTGCCTCGGGCAGCCCCTCTTCGCATACACTTACTCTTCTCGATGCCATCCTTTCGCCGGTGTCCCAATCTCTGGGTCAGCATCTCCACCGGCGCAATAAACTAATCATCTCAGCTTGATAAGCTTGATTCTGCAGCTCCTCCGCACTTCTTTCCCCCATCCAGCTGGACCACCTGCTCTCCTCTCCTCGTGTGCATGCAGCTTGCGTCTTCCCCATCTCCAATCATGATTCTTCCGGGTCTTCCATTATGATCGCTTTCTCCAAGACCTCGCCACAACCCCTCGCCTCTCCGATTCCTCCATAATTGATTGCATTCTTCGCTAACCCTCGGAAAGCTTTTGGAGAGGTTTCTGCCGCCACCTGTGATAGATTTCGATCTGTCGCAGAACAGAGATTCGTCAAGAATCACAAACTTATTATTATCTCAACAGCCACCCATGTTCTTTACCGGTCTAGAAGGTATCGGCGCTTCTCGCTGGGGGATCTGCTAGTCTACAAGGCCTATAACGCGTCAACTAGTGGCAACATATATAGAAAGCATCGCCAGTCAGGGCCATGCAGCCATCCATACAAGCCGCCGGGTATAACCCGCCTGCTACGTGAATCGACCGCACTATCAGCTGCACCGAAAGAAAAAAAATCCCTTGATTGTACATAAAGTAAATGCGCGTGTCGAATTCCCACAAGAGTAAGTTGATCATCCCAAAAGTCCGACAACAAAATGAAATCCCTTTATCCTTTACTCGCTTGATTCAGGCTCCTCGCCTTCGGCGCTGTCATCTTTGGAAGCTTCGGCGTTTGCCTTGGCCTCGTTTTCCTCCGCTACCCCCATGATAAACGCCCATTCTGTGACGCTTACTGGTGTCACACTCAGCCGGGACTGCTTCAGCACCTGCATATTTTCAAGAGCCCGTACGGACTGTGCATATGATTTGAGATCGTTCAACGTAATCATTTTGTTGAACTTGCGCCGGAACTCAACGTGGACAACCTGCCATTTGGGATCGTCTCGGTTCGACTTCTCGTCGTAGTATGGGTGGGCGGGATCGAAGGCCGATTCTAAATGCGAACGCCACGGGTTAGCTGACCCTGTCTTGTCCAGTAAGGGCTAATGTGATGAGACTAACCATCCGGCGAATGCTCCTTGACAATCTCCATGATACCTGCAATGCCTGGGACCTTGCAGTTGGAGTGGTAGAAGAAGGCGAGGTCACCCTTCTTCATGTCGCGGATATGTTTTTGTGCTGTTTTGCTTGTGAGCCAGAAGGCTAGCTTGCTACTGCCAATGGCCTCACTTACCAACAGGGTTACGCACACCTACTGGGTGATCAGCAGACAAATAAATCATCCAAAGCCCTATGATGGAAACGTACCGTCCCATGGCTCCGGCTCCTTACGGGCAGCCAAGTCATCAATCGAGAATTTTACATCAACACCTTTCTCCAGTCGCGATTCCGGCTCAGCCTTCATCAACCAGTATGAGCGCCCTTCGAAGGGTGTGGTATCGACCGTCTCTGTTTTCGTCGTTGATGAGGTGGGTTCTGTTCCATTTTCGACCGGGGTCTTCCTTGGCCTGCCCCGTTTGCCTTGCTTGGGGGTTGTAGACTTTGCGGGAGTAGCTAGTGTATGTCAGCAATTTCCGTAGAAAAAATCATACCGAACGCATCATCCATAAAAGAATGGAATGACCAGAGGAACGGTATGGGGTTTGTCCGTAGAGGCATCAGAGATATGGGACGCAAGGAGGGAACTGACGGGCATTCGGATCTTTACGAGGACGGCCACGGCCTCTTTTGGGGCCGTCAGGGCGCTTGGGAGTACTACCCTCAGGATATTTCCTGGGACGACCCCTCTTTCTCTTTTCGCCGGTAGCCGGTGTGTCGGGCGCGGCCTATGTAAGAAATGAAGAACGATTAGTTTTGCCTGAACATGGAGTTTGGAAAACATAATCGTTTGTTCGTGCATTTTGGATGTAACATCGACGCTTCCAATCATTGGGGAAGGGGAGCGAATGACACCGTGATTAGCCAGTGGGCGGCGATCGCGTATTGGACGGGCCGACTGGTCTGGTAGAAGGACGCGCTACCTCGTGGGCAGTATTAATGAACTTGTAGATAGGCAAAGGCTTACCACTCTCTTCGCAGCAGGGGACTCGGCTTCCTCGGCGATTGACGCGCTCTCCGACTTGCGTTTCCTTTGGGGTGCCATGTTTGGTTGGTAGGTTGATGGGGGGATGTTTATCTGTGCGATAAGATCCACGGGAGTTTGGGGGGGGAGGGAAGAGAGAGACGGAACAAAGATCGAATGGACGGTCAGAAAAGGACAAGAGCAGATGAAGACAACAAAGAAATCAGCCAGTCAGGAGCCAGCCAGCGGGGAAGCGCTGGGGGACTTGGGACACGAGGATCCAGACGCGCCTAGAAGTGTGAAAGCCAGCCAGTCAGTCAATCCAGTATAGGAAAGCTTATGAGAGAATCGATGCGGAAATGGGTGTTTGCAAAGGTTAGTAACGGAGACTAACCAAGGTACGGACCAGCAGTCTGTTCCGACAGTCGAAGGGAACGATTAGACACGACAGGACGCGGTTCTAGGCACGCACTGGGCAAGAATCATAACAGGACCGCGATGGGTGAAGCTCTGGTTGCGGACGAGTGGACGGGTCGAGCTTCTCGGGACGCGCGGTGGAGCCCCCTTAGGCTTAGGCGCTCCGCTGGGGTCACGTGGCTGTGCTCGCGGAGATTCAGGTACCCTCACCGAGCAAAACTATAACTAATTATTATTTACTCCGTAGGCGCAGGAACAGGCAGGAGATTAAAACTGCACACAGCATATACCCCTGTCATAGTTTGATGGAATTGTGCTACCCCTGCCAGTTGGAACGATGCACCCGACTACAGGCAAGCTCATGTGCCGTCAATACCAAATCACTGTATGGTGTAGACCACTCATGACCATGATTTTGCTTAACTTTCAATCCGTACTACCAGCTACACCACCAACTATTTGGCACTATCTCAATAACGATTCGCTAGTGCCCGAATTTACAGCCTTCGCTAGGCTGAAGGCATTTTATAAGCCCTTTCAGCGCCATGATTGGCCAGTAATCTCGGAGACTCCCATCATCAGGTGTCAGGATACCTTGATTCTCTAGTAGTGTTCTGTCGATTTGATAAGCTGGTCAGCAGAAAGGTTCAAAGAGATTTCAATGTCCAGGTTGATGGATTCTCTCATAGTGTACTCCACCCACTCTATACCTCCAATCTCTCGGTTTTGCAAGAACTAGGAGCAGGTACCTGTCCTATGTTGCTTCGATCGGAAGGCGGAAAGTGTATCCCATGTTTCGAAGATAATATCCGGTTCGTAGTGACTCAAAGAGAAACTTTCTCCCCGTCATCGGACACCCTCACGGAGTCGGCGTGAACTGTCCTGCAAGCTCCAGGAGTGATTTCAATGCAGAGAGTACACTTGGAGGAAACTTAGCGTCGCGCAAAGCTACCATTCGGCCAGATATCGCTGCTCGATCCCTTCGAAGAACATATCAGGATCAAAAGGTCATATGTGGGTGGAGAGCCATTGGCATGTTTTGAGAGAGGTGAACTATTTGCCAGACTTGCGCGATATGTTGACGTTATATGGAGATTGTAAGCGAATTGGTACCCGACCAGGAGAAAATGATGACTTTGGCCGAAGGACAAAACTGATGGTATTCGGTAGGAAATTGCGCCATTGTCACTGATTCAGCCCTGTAGAGTTGGTCGCAAATGCCTCCGAACGGATACTTAGTGTACACAGTGAGCATGCCATCCCGGCAATGACTGTAGGGAAGGCCCTCCACATCCAAGCCATGAGAAGTCTTTCTCTTGTTGAAATAAAAATTCATGTATCAGACAACAGTCACTCGCAATTCCAGACTCCGTGGTAGCGTTAAACGGTTGAGTCATGGCATTGTTTTCCTTTCTAGCTTCGGGGTCAGTAATAAGTTTGGCACCTGCGTTTCCGTCGCCAAAACTTCGCACAGGGGTGAGTGCTGGTAGTTCGATCTTGGTAAGCTCCCAAACAAACTGCTCCGGGTGATTCTAGTTATTATGTATGCGGCGCTATGGGCAAAACTCTTTTCTGCAGATGCTTCTCATGATGGCGCCCTTGGCTCGGGCATCACTTACTGTAAAGGTAGTGTGTAGGCTGTAGTTGATCAAGTAGTCGCCAGGAGGATGGGTAAGACGACACGCACAATTGCGCCATCATTCAACACCACCATTGGCCCCAAGCGAACACGATTGTCGGCCGAGCCATTTTCTTGCAAGGTAGTCGGCCGACAGCTCTCGGGTGAGAAAGAGTTGTAACGCTAGAAAGCGGCAGAGACGAACAAACAGAGTTGGGTACGCAGCAGCCAGTATGTGACAGTAGTCATAACATTGATATGGATGATGATAGAGATAGTAATAGTAAAGGAACTATCTATGAAAGAAGAAGAGGATGAACAAGAGGACTGGCCTCGCACGGTTCTTCCCCTCCTACTATAGTTTAGGAACAATGCCGGGACTAGGGGACGGTACATGAGTTAAGGTCGATGGTTCGTGCCTTGGGAAATCCAATCTCGCCATGGGATTCTGGTTGAATCTCCCCAAAAACATCCCGGACGGGGGAGGGGCATTTCCCAATGCGGATGACGCTAAACATCCCACCTGGAATGAGCTCATGTGGGTCCAATCAGAGCTGTTCTGCCCCCTGGGCGGTGGCAGATTGCGTGATCAAGATCGCCCTCCCAGCGGCTGTCATTCGTTGGAGGGGCATCCAAGCTGTGGTTCTGGTTCAATGTGGATGGTGTCCCCCCCCTCTGCCTCGTAGCTCCATCCCCGTTCCATTCACAGGCTCCTCGTCTTCTGGTTCCCCGACCTCGGGCCTCATCGGGGGTATATTTAGAACTCCCAACTTCCTCCGTTGCATTCATCTTCTCCTGCTTCCTACTCATCTTTCTTTCCCTACCTATCTGATCAAAAAGTTCATACCCACCCCTCTACACCTCCCCTCACTTTCACAATGGCCCAGGAACGTGCTCCGTACGTGCTATCCAACACGATGTGACTGTATCCCCTCACTCGGCCCAATTCTGACATGCCACTTTCTCACAGTCTCCGTCTCGGCTCCGTTGCCCCCAACTTCGAGGCCGACTCCTCCAACGGCCCTATCTCTTTCCACGACTTCATTGGCGACAGCTGGGCTATCCTGTTCTCCCACCCCGTTAGTTCTCTCCCTGCACCGTTGTGGATACCATGATGATTCAAAGATACAGCTGAGCTAACAATTCTGCAATTGGCATAGGATGACTTCACTCCCATTTGCACCACTGAGCTCGGTGCTTTCGCCAAGCTCGAGCCCGAGTTCACTGCTCGTGGCGTCAAGCTCATCGGTCTGAGCGCCAACGGCACCGAGTCCCACCACGCCTGGATCAAGGATATCGATGAGGTCAACGGCTCGAACCTCAAGTTCCCCATCATCTCCGACCCCGAGCGCAAGGTTGCCTACCTGTACGACATGGTCGACTACCAGGACACCACCAACGTTGACGCCAAGGGTGAGCCATCCCTCCCAAAGTGACGCCGTGAGGACGCTGCTAACATATTCCAGGCATGGCTCTCACCATCCGTTCCGTCTTCATCATCGACCCCAGCAAGAAGATCCGTCTGATCATGTCCTACCCCGCCTCCACTGGTCGTAACACCGCTGAGGTCCTCCGTGTTGTCGACGCTCTGCAGACCACTGACAAGCACGGTGTCACCTGCCCCATCAACTGGCTCCCTGGTGACGACGTTGTCATCCCCCCTCCCGTCTCCACTGAGGACGCTCAGAAGAAGTTCGGTGACATCCGCATTGTCAAGCCGTAAGTTGTCCAATACACCCGCTTAAAGACATGTTACGGTCGCTAACGCGATGGACTAGTTACCTTCGCTTCACCTCCCTCAAGAAGGAGTAAATCAAGGCAGATTATGACAATGTCCTGCCGATCCTCGTCAACTCAATCTCATACGGATGGGTGGCGTACCGATCATGATAACTAAAACATGTTGTGACGGGGTTGGTAGAGGGAACGCGGTATGAAAGTTATGGCTATGATGTGTAATAGTTTGATACCTCACGACAAATAAATCGATTAACGATCTCCAAATTATAACCCCAAGGCGGACAGGGTTGTTCATCGTGGCTAATCAATAACTGTATCGAATAATGCTCCTGCATGTTGGGAGTTTCCACGCAGGAACCGTGTCCGCGGTGCTTTGGTTCCTGCATGGCGCACCTTAGAGGATCCTGTCACTGCCCACACACGGCGACTGGTAGCATGATCAACAGTAGTCTGGGCCCCGTTCGAGTGGCGATATGGAGCTGAAGTTCCGTCCTGCATGATGATCCTGGTCGCAAACGGCTGGAAGGCCAGCAGAAGGGCAGAATGCGTTGTTGCCGGTGCCGTGCCTCAAATAAAAACCCGTAAACACCCCGAGAATGCATAATAGGAAAAATATACTGCTAAATAGGATGTGAGCATACACGGAGCAAATATGAGTTATCTGACTGTGTACGATGATCAATCATTCGACAGTCGCTGAGCCTCATAACATTTTTGGTTCAAACACAATGGCATGCAGGTTTCGGACTGTCAGATTTTCGTGCTTACTCCTCTTCCTCCCAACCCACTAGTTGTTATACCAATTTTTCAGGTCGATGTTCACAGGCTCTGGACTGATCACAGGGACCCGTAAGACTGTACTTCAAAAGGAGGTGCGTCGAGGAGTTCTTAGTCGTCGATAGCTTTTGCCTGCCAAACACAGGATCTTCAACTCCGAGAATCAAAGCTGTATACCTGAGTTTCAACTACTTGGCCCGAGAAGTGCAAGTATTTGAATGCTGGCGGTGCTACTCTGACGGACCTCCAAGTGTGCTATAAATAACAATTCAAATTGGTGAGAGGAACTTCCCGTTCTGGTTTGACATCATGGTTCTTTCTTTCCTCAAGAGTTGCTGATGCCTCAACTCTGAAACAGGTTCGCCCCCCTCGCCCCTCCCCTCCCTTACAACTTTGAGTTTGACCTGTCAGAGGAATTGACTTTCCCAGGGTTGGGTTGCATATTCTGCAAACCCTCTCTCTCCCTTTTAGACACTTTTCTCCACTGTGATCTGACCCAGTTAGTGCCTGGACCGTTTAACGGGTAACT